GTTGTTTGGCGGGCCCGGGCTGGGGATTCGAACCTGCCACCTTAGGTGTATGTGGCTGGCGCCTTAGCCGCTTGAGCCACAGGCGCCGAGCCAGAATGTAGACTTTTAAAATTATCTGAAGGACCCAGAGCAGAGAATGGGCGAAGAGTAGGCTGTTTGACAATGCAGTGACCTCCTGTTCACACTCGCTCTTGAGTTCAGCCTGCCCGCCCACCTCTCGCCTCCCAGAACATCTTCTGTCATGGCCACCTCAGCAAGTTTCCACTTAATTGAAGGCATCAAGCAGGTGTCTATGTCTCTGCCTCTGGGTGGGAAGGTTCTAGCCATGTACCCCCCTGCCCTGTCAGTGATGCCAGAGAAGACTGCACCGCAGACCCACGGCCCAGACTCCATGCCTGTGTGCAGGAGAGCTTCCCAAAGGAGCCACGTGGCTCTCATGCTTACAGTTTGAAGGCTGCAACAGTGACATGTATCTCTTGCCTGCTGCCATGTTTCGGGACCCCTTCCACAAGGCCCCTAACAAGCTGGTGTTCTGTGACACTTTCAAGTACAATGAAAGCCTGCAGAGACTGATTCAAGTCGCATCTGTAATTGAGTAATGGCTGTGGGGAGCATTCAAACCCAGCACGCCCGGTTTGAAATGGAGCAGGAGTATTCTCTGATGGGGACAGAGGGCACCCCTTCACTTGGCTTCTCAGGGTCCTTATTACTGTGGCGTGAGTGCAGACAGAGCCTATGGCAAGGGTGCCATGGAGTCCTTACCAAGCCAGATTGTATGCTGGAGTCAGGACTGTGAGATTAATGCTGAGGCTGGGCTGCCCGGTGTGGATTCCAGATTGGACCCTGGGAAAGAATCAGCATGGAGGATCATTTCTGGGTGGCTTGTTTCATCTTGTACCATGTGTGAGGACTTTGGAGTGATAGCAACTTTTATCATAAGCCCATTCCCGAGAACTGGATGATGCAGGCTGCCATACCAACCAGCACCAACACCTCCCACTATGTGGGTGGAGGCCATCAAGAAGCTAAGCAAGCAGCCCCAGTACCACATTCACACCTATGATCCCCGGGGGGCTTGGACAATGCCTGGTGCCTAACTGAATTAATTTTACAGAACCTCCAACATCAGCAGCTTTGCCACTGGCATAGCCAACCATAGCTCCAACATCCATTGTCCCCAGGAGAAGGGCTTCTTTGAACACTCAAACTGCGACTCCATCCTCCAGCTGCGGCCTGTTCTTCGTGGCAGAAGCTCCGATCCACACACATCCTCTCCACGAAGCTGGTGATGAGCTGCCTTTGTTTTCTAATTCTTTTGAGAAAAGTTGGAGAGTAAAATCTAAAAGTGTATACATTTTAAATCTCTTTAAAGTCAGTGCCGCAGAGGAATGCACTGATGATTAATTAAGCAAAAACCTTGGTTATAAGACTCTATCAGGGCTCGGAGCCTGTGGCTCAAGCGGCTAAGGTGCCAGCCACATACATCTGAGCTGTTGGGTTCAAATCCAGCCTGGGCCCACCAAACAACAATGACAATAGTCCCAGCTACCTGGGAGGCGGAGGCAGGAGACTCACTTGAGCCCCCGGAGTTGGAGGTTGCTGTGAGCTGTGATGCCACGGCACTTTACCCAGGGGGACAGCTTGAGGCTCTGTCTCAAAAAAAAAAAAAAAAAGCACTATTAGGAGGCTGGGCGCTCGTAGCATAGAGGTTACTGCGCCAGCCACATACACCAAGGGTGGCAGGTTTGAACCCGGCCCGGGACAGCTAAACAACAATGGCAACTGCAACAACAAAAAATAGCCGGGCATTGTGGTGGGTGCCTGTAGTCCCAACTACTTGAGAGGCTGAGGGAAGAGAATCACTTAAGCCCAAGAGTTTGAGGTTGCTGTGAGCTGTGATGCCACGGCACTCTACCAAGGGCAAGATAGTGAGACTCTGTCTCAAAAAAAAAAAAAAAATTTAAGAGGTTATAACCAACTTTCTACTAAAAGTGGGAATTGACCAGGTGAGGTGGCTCATGCCTGTAATTCTAACACTCTGGGAGGCCGAGGTGAGTGGATTGTCTGAGCTCACAGGTTCGAGACCAGCCTGAGCAAGAAAGAGTCCCCATCTCTAAAAATACCTAGGCATTGTGGGGGGTGCCTGTGGCCCAGCTACTTAGGAGGCTGGGACAAGAGAATTGGTTGAACCCAAGAGTTTGAGGTTGCTGTGAGTTGTGACACCATAGCACTCTATCAAAGTGAGACTGTGTCTCAAAAATTAAAAAATAAAAGTGGGAATTGAGAGAAAGTGGGAGTTGGAGCTCAGGGAGGGAAGTGACTTTGGTTTGCCCAGGCTTCCCTTCTGTGGGGCTAAATGCCCTCTTCTTTCAAAGGGCTTAGAATAAATTGATGTATATCTGTACCTTAAAAGAAGAAAAGGTTCTTATTGCTTGGTCCTCCTTTATAACACAAAGCAGAGTAATATTTTTACATTTAAATGTAAAAACAAAATTATGTATATGGACATGTGGATTATGTTTGTTTCTAATAGTGAAAACTGTTCGGGTCCTAGGGAACCAAAGTAAAGGAATTAAGTTGAGAAGATGAGTATCTCTTTTGAGGAGGGGATGAGGGATGTGGTGCTTGAAATTTGGTGACT